GGAGGCGACGGGAGGAGGGGAGGACGAGACGAGTGGGAACGGAGCAACATAGGGTGGGAGCGCAGGATAGGAGAGACGGGGCGAGCACGTGAGGGACGGCGAGACCAAACGTGGGATGGAGGGGTAGGGTCAGGAGACAGCGGAGGGGACACAAGAGGGGAACGAGAAGGAAGACGTGCCGTAGACGAGTCCGACAGAGGAAACACAGGGCCGTAGACAGGAAGGTGAGGAGGTGGCGGGGGAGACACCGGCGCGCGGTCAGGGGAGGGAAGGCCGAGCAGGCAAAGAGCAGAGAACGGCTGCGACGGCTGCAACGACGGCCGATGCCCGACCCCCGGACCGGCAGAGGCACGACGACCGCCGGAAGAACACTCAACGGCAGCACCCCCAGAACCAACACCCCCAGAGCGAGAACTCCCTCCAGCACCAGCGGCACCCCCAGGCTCGCCGGGACAGACGACGCCTGGAACCGCAGAACGAGCACCCTTCTCGACGCCAGCATCCCCAGAGGCCAAGAGCGGCAGCGGCAGCGACGGCGGCGGCGGCGGCAGCGGCTACGACGGCGGAGGCGGCGGTGGCGGCAGCGGCTGCGACGGCGGCGGCGGCGGTGGCAATGGCTGCGACTGCGACAGCGGCGGCGGCGACTGCGACAGCGGAGGTGGTGACACCGGGGAAGGGGGACGCGACAAGGGCGGGCCGGGGGGGCAACTAGAGTCAGAAGACTCCTCAACGGGGACAACCGACGGGAGGGGAGTGACGTGAGAGACGCCAGACGGGGCTGGACGCGGCAGGAGGGGAGCAGGGGCTACCGGGGGAGAGGGAGCAAGGAACAGGGCTGGGGAAACCGGGAGACCTCGGTGAAGGAAGCGACGGCAGAAGGAGACAGACTCGTCAAAGGTGACATCACGAGAGTAGAGGAAGCGGTGAGACGGTGGGTGGTAGAAGAGCCAGTCAGACGAGTCCAGGGGGAAACCAAGGAAGACGAAAGGGACAGTGCGGGCGATGAGCTTGTTCGTGCCAGAGGCATGAACGTGAGCAAGGCAACCCCAGACGTGGAACGCTGACGCGTCACCAGGGGACCCGGTCCAAAGGAGGGTCGGCAAAACCTGCGGTCGCTGGGAGCGGGGCCACAAGTTAAGCTGGTGAGCAGCGTAGTGAACAGCGAACAGCCACAGAAAATGGGGGGCATCGGCATGGATCATGGAGGTACGAGCCACCTCCATGACCAAGCCGATGCGGCGCTCAGCAACCCCATTTTGCTGTGGCGAGTCCGGCAAGGTGTACGACTGGATGATGCCCTCCGCACGACAAAACTGTCCAAGCCGACCAGAGGCGAACTCGCCGCCACGGTCGGAGTGGAGACACAGCACGGGGAGACCGCGGTGGAGACGCGCAGCCACCACCCACGGTAGAAGAACGTCGGGCACGTCGGCCTTCCGCTCCAGGGGAAACACCGTGGTGTAGCGCGTGTAGTCGTCGACGAGCACAAGAAAGTAGCGCTCACCGCGCGGTCTGGGGACAAGGGCCAGGCCCCAAACGTCCAGGTGCAGGGTCTGAAGGGGGGCAGTAGCAGGGCGAAGTGAGGAGGAGTGAGGAGCACGGCGGAGCCAGCCCTCGACGCAAGGCGTGCACGGTGGCGCAGTCGAGGGGGGAAGGGTAGGGAGCGACACAGGGAGGCCTAAGACAAGACCGTGCTGAGACATGTGACGCAGACGCGGGAGAGCAGGGTGACCCAAACGGTGGTGCCAGAGAAGGGACGGGTGAGTGAGGGACCGACACGAGCAAGCTGCAGCAACGTGGGAGGACGCACCAACCGGGGGGGAAGCGGTGTGGACAGTAAATAGACCGGACACCGGGTCCCGGGGGAACGTCGCAAGGGGGGAACCTAAGACTGCCTCGGTACACACAGCGAACCGCTCGTGCCCAGGGAACGTAGTGGTGATGCCGAGGTCCTGAAGACGGCCGACACCAACTAGGTTCCTGGAGAACGAGGGAACGTGGAGACCTGTAAGAGAGCCCAAGGGAATGGCTGGACAGGGAAGGGAAGTGGAACTGCGAGCGACGACTGGACCCGCAGAGGGGTCAGCAAGAGAGACAACACCAGGCGCAGCAAGCGGCGTGAGCGTGGAGCGGTCGCAGAAGAAGCATGCAGAAGCACTGGAGTCGAGAGTGAAGGACAGCGAGGCAGTAGCGGAGGCCAGGACCGAACCCGGTGCAGAAACTAGGCTAGGCAAACTAGGCAGTCCTACGCCTGATGCAGCAGGGGAGGCTAAGCTACACAAGGGTGCAACACCTAAACTAGAGTACACAGGGTAATAAGATCCAGCAACACTAGAAGCGTCAGAGTACAAGGCATGCAAAGCAGCACCTATCTGACCCATGTCTAACTCAAAGATCGGCACGCCCTGCCGGAGCAGGCTGTGCCAGTCGGGGAGGTCCGGGGCCGGGCCAAAGCGACGACGAAAGAGATCGTCGAGGTGGCGGAAACAGCGGGCGGTCGGGTGCGAGCGGCGGCACCGAGTGCTGCGAAGAGGCCCGGTCTGAAGCTGGTACTGGCAGGTCACACCAATGGAGCTGCCGGTAGACGCCAAGCTGCGCGGGCCGCCACCACGGCCACCACCTCCGGAGGTACCGGGCCAACCAGGCGAGAGACGAGCCCACGGCTGCGGCGGCTGCTGCTGTGACGGCGGCTGCTGCTGGGGCTGCTCCTGCTGCGGAGGCGACTGCGTCTGCTCCTGCCCACCGGTGGTAGTCGCGTCAGGCAGACTATCATCATCACCACCACTACCGCTACCACCAGCTCCACCACCACGACCGCCCTGGCGGCCACGGCCAGTGCGGCGCTGGCGCTGCTGCGGGTGGACCGCACCAGCCATCTCGGTAAGAGGGGTCGCAGTGGCGACCGCAGCCGAAACGTCAGTAAACGTGCACTGGGAGGGGGCATAGCTGTGAAAGATAGAGACTGCCGGCGCACCGCTCGACTGAACGATAGTGCGCTGGCGAGTCTCGATCTCGGTGAGGGTGTCGACAAAGGCGGTCAGGGTGAGGTCACCCGGGTGCTGGCTTAGGAAGCGGTCGCGAGCACTAGCGAGGCGGTCCGGCAGGCGCATGGCGATAAAATAGAGCGTCATGCAGAAAGGGGGGGGGAGCGCAGTGAGCTGGGCAGCAGTGCTGGCAGTGCGATAGCGAGACCCTAGAGCACGCAAGTGAGTGGCAAAGTCTGAAACAGTAGGGAAGGCAGCAAGGTCTGGGAACAGCATCGGGAAGAGCATGCGGCCGGTAGAAGCGGATGCAGGCGTGGAATAGCGAGCAACAACAACGTCTAAATAAGCTTTGGTCGTATCCAGCGTAGCGAAGCGCGAGCGCTCAGACACGGGGAGGGCGTGACTGATGGCAACCTGAGCTACTGCATCGCGAGAGTCTCAGACCGCACGGGCAAGAGCAGCAGTAGAGAAAGCCTCACTCTCAGCAGAGGTGGGGTCAGCAGGGAGGGGAGCAGGTGCAGGGGGGCAGGGGAGCAAGCCATCAGCATGGACCACCAAAGAGTGCCCATCCTGGCGCTGGCCTGTAAGCTGACGGCGGAGATCGGAGAGCCAGGCGGCGAAGTCAACCGCGTGGCCCTCAGCGTCCAGTTGGAGCACGAAGTCAGCCATCGTGCAGGGTCAGCGGCACAGCTCCACAGCGACACAGCGGGACTGGGACACAGCGGCACGGCTCCACAGCTCCGCAGGGGCACAGCGGCACGAGGACACGGCGGTAGCACTCTCGAGTGGGGCGGCTGCGGGGCGCTCCAGTGCGGGCGAGCAGAAGACACTGCGCCCGAGGTGGCGCGATAGGCCGAGCAGGCACGAGGAGGGGCCGGGCAAGCAGTAGAAAGGGGGCCGGGCTGGCGCGAGAGGCTGGGCAGTCGTGCAAGGCCAGGCGGGCGCTAGGAGGGGCCGGGCGGGCGCACTTGGGCTGTGCGGGCGCTAAAGGCCTGGCGGGCACTAGGAGGGGCCAGGCAGGCGCTGGACGGCCGGGCAGGTGCGAGTGGGGCCGGGCGGGCGCTAGGAGGAGGCCGGGCGGCACTAGGAGGGGCCGTGCTGGCGCTAGGAGGGGCCGGGCTGCGCTAGGAGGAGGCCGGGCGGGCGCTGCTGGGGCCGGGCTGGCGCTAGGAGGGGCCAGGCGGCACTAGGAGGAGGCCGGGCGGGCGCTGCTGGGGCCGGGCTAGCGCTAGGAGGGGCCAGGCGTGGGCAGCGGGCCGGGCGGGCTGTGCGGGCCGAGCGGGCGCGACGGGGCCTAGCGGGCGCGACGGGGGGCAAGCGGGCGCGACGGGCCAGGCGGGCGCGATGGGGGTAGGCGGGCGTGACGGGGCGGGCGGGCGCTTAAGGGTCGGGCAGGATGCTACGGGCCGGGCGGGCGCTACGGGGCCGGGCGGGCGCTACGGGCCGGGCGGGCGCTACAGGCCGGGCGGGCGCTAGGGGCCGGGCGGGTGCTAGGGGCCGGGCGGGTGCTAGGGCTAGGTAGGGGGGGGTAGGCTAGGGCGCGGGCGGCAGCGGGCGGGTGGACCTAACCTACTCGTGATACCATGTTATAATGCAAGAATGATGACTAAGTGGAGATTACAGCACATATAGCAGTTGGGGTTGTACTCACTAGGAACACACATCTACACTAGCCTATAACTTCTACATGCAACGCATGTATAAGTTGACAGCAACGAGATGATCAAAAGTGGGTATCTGACTCAAATGAATGTGGTGAAACAGGTACACTTGACTTCCAATTAAAAGAGCATATGCACATTCCATAACTCCAGGGTGTTTTATTTTTTGGGCCTTTAATTACACCCAGCCCAAAAATTTGCTGCATTTTTATTAACACCATAGTGTGCTTTATACGGGAGATTACGGTAGTTGAGTTGAATAGAAGGATACAGGGGTATATAGACTAGGGGTTGTACCATCTAAGGCACAATCCAATGTAGTCTACAGTAACTACATAAGTAACATTTGACAGTGGTTACTATACAATGCTACAGTTTTACATGGGTAATAAATTCTGAAGGAAGGTGAGGTTAACAAATGAAGCAAAGGCCAGCCTGAGACAGCAGATTTGCCTGAATTTCTACTACCCCTTACCCCCTCCCCTTCTACAACTTCCTCAAGTCTCTCCCAACCTAACCCAGAAAAACAATAACTCATGCCTCTGATCCCCATCCCGCCGTTCTTCCGACACTCCGCCCACAATAATGCAAGATGCACGACTCAATCCCGACTTGAAGCAAGTTCCTCCATAACTGCCTCCAAGGAGGCAAACACAGGGTTCAGGTGGGAAGGCGGCAAGCAGGTGTGGGTCACAGCAGCACAAGACACGGCACGACCGTACTGGGGAGGTGTCAGCCACAGTGCGGCTATCCAAAGGGAGTGACCCTGTACACAAGCAGGTTAAGCTTGCATAAGACGTCCCATCCCAGACCCAATAACTTGCCGAGTTTACAAGAGATTGTTAAAAAGGCTGCGGTTCAAAAAAAGAGATGATGGTTGCTGCTGGCCCTGCTGCTGCTGACCCTGCTGGCCTTGGCCCAACAAAAGATTGGGTTGCTGCTGCTGTTGCTGCTGTTGCTGCAGCAAAGCCAAAAGCTGCTGCTGCCTGCTGCTGCTGCTGTTGCTGCTGTTGCTGCTGTTGCTGCTGCTGTTGCTGCTGCTGCTGCTGCTGCTGCTGCTGCTGCTGCTGCTGTTGCTGCTGCTGAGCAGCCAAAAGAGCCTGCACTGCTTGAGGCTGCCCTTGCAAGAGCTTTAGCAGCTGACCCAGCTGACCATCAAGTGAAGCTGCAGGTTGATGGGGGGAGAGCGGGGAGGGTGGGCCACCCGCAGCAGCAGTGGCAAGAGCAAGAGAGTTGGTGGCGGCAGCCGCGTTGGGGAATTGGGAAAGTGGTGGCAAGCCGGCTGCAGTGCGCAGCATCTCCACCTGGTCGTGCAGATGCTTGTTCTCAACTGCACTTCGCCATGCAGCGCAGGGGGGAGGGGAACCATGGGTCAGCATGCAGAGTGCAACGGTCAGGTGGGAGATGTGAGTGGATGAGATACACTTGGCATGTGACCCACATGCACTAGGATGTGAATCGCGAGCAAAGAAAAGGATAGCAGTGCCAGTCATCACACCGTACTTGCCTTCGCTTTGCTGGTAAAGCTGCTCCAGCAGTTGGAGCTTCTTCGTCATACCGTCATTAGCTTCTGCCAGTGATGTCGTCTCCCTCTGTGTGGGGTAAAAAGAGTGCCATGAGGCACAGCAGAACCGCGTCTCCTTTCCCTCTCTTCCTCTTTCTCCCCATTTCCCTTCTTGCTCCCTCTCTTACTCACCCTCACACACACACATCCTCTCTCTCTCTCTCCGCAGGAATGCACTGGTAGTATCTCCTTTTCACTTTCTCTCTTATCCGAGGAAGAACAAAGCTCCACTTCCACCAAAATATCAAAGAGGCACACAATCAAATGTGCGTCAAGGGGAGGGGGAGGGAAAAACGGTAAAGGAAAGGGAGGGGAGAGGGGGGGGGGAGGGGGGGGGGGGAGGAGGGAGGGGCTCCATAGCATTTAAAGGCACAGATAATCGTGGCATGGTGAGGAGGAGCGACCTGCAGGATGGAGAGCGTGGCCTTGAGAGCGTGCGCCTGCTTCTCGTACGCCGCGACCTTCTCCTCCAGCTCCATGATGTACCGCGTCTTGCGCTCCTTCGACCGCGCCGCCGACAGCCGGTTCGCCAAGATGCTGCCAGGCACTCATGGGCACGGGGAGGAATCGTCAAGGGCAGAGGAAGGGGTCCCACAGAAACCAGGAAAGGCGGAGGTGCGTGGGCACGACATTGGGACGCGTGTGACGCTGTGCCATCCCTCGCCCACTGCGCCCGCAGACCATTCACGAGGCTGGCACTCACCAGCCTTTACCGAATTACTGCCTACTAGTCAAAGGTCCCAAATGCGGGCTGGAGGACCCTGCACGAGGACGCGGAAAGGATTCGTCAAGCAGGCGCAGGTCTGCGAGTCCTCGAGGGAACTCGCCTCTGTTCTATCCCCTCGCAAACTTGCCGCCTCCCCAGAAACGAGGCACACGTGATTAGGCTTTTGGTTCATTTCCGGCGTACCGTTTGGCCTTCTTGGCGTCGATGACCTCGTTGTCGGCAGCCGCCTTCTTCGTCGCCATGACCCGTCGCACGGCATCGTCGTCGTCCAGCTCGTCCACCTCGTCCTTTATCGACAACCCGCCATCCGCTCGCCGCCCGCCTCGTCGCAGGGGGCTGCTGCCGTTGAGCGGGCTACAGATGGGGCTCAGCGAGTCCCGAATGGGCCCCGCCTTGAACAGAAACGCGTCGTCCACAGAAAAGCTCCGAGAGTGCCCGCCGCCGCCGCCACTGCTGCCCGGTGCTCCACGGCCCCCTGCTGCATGCCCCGTATGGCCCCCATGATGCCCCCCAGTGTTCCCGATTGTCCGCCACCTTGCTGGGCGTAACCAGCGCCGTGGCTCCCGCTAGCCCAGCTGCCCCCGCCCACAACACCACCACCTCCGCCCGCTGACCCCCAACCGCTCCAGCTCCTCCGCTGCTGCTGGCGGCCCCTCCGCTGCCCGCGCTGTCCGCACGGTGATGGCCGGCCTGAAACGACATACCCCCGCCGGCAGTACCACCACCGGCAGCAGCAGCAGGGTTGCCCATAGCGGTAGTGGCCCCAAGGCCACCCATGTCGACCATGTCCGCGAAGAGCGACTGCTCCATCCCGCTCCCCATGTGCACGCCCTTGCCAGCCGCCGCCGCCACCACGTCCATGTCGTCAGACAGTATGGCGTCGCTGCCCGTACCGCTGCCGCCGCTGCCGAAACAAAAGCCCTGAAGGCTATCGCTGGCCACGCGACGATGGCCGAATTTCTTCGGAGGAAACTCGGATATCTGATTCATTAAATCGCCGAACGGCAGTCCTGGCACACCGGCATTCAGGTGTCCCATCCCGCCACTTGAACTACCCACGCCTCCTCCCCCATGCCCCATATCCATGCCCGCTGGCCCGCCGCCGGTGCCCGTGTCCATGGCTAGCTGCTGCGCCTTAATCGCTCACACCGCCAAGCGACGCTCGGAAGGTAACAACGTGCACCCTGCGGTTCCACGAGAAACAGATTAAGTTCGATTCGACAGGAAGATATGAAAAAATCGATGAAGGTAAGAAAGAGGGAGAAAAAAACGGGAGGGAGAGTGAAGGTAAAATAAAATACCGTATTCCCCCGGATATACGCCCCTCCGTAGGTTAAGGCCTATGGGCTTTATCTCGTGCTTTGGGCCTTATAGCTATTATTCGATTATACGGCCCCCTTTTATTTCGTAAAACACTGCACCAGAATGAGTGAACGAGTTCAGGTAATAACGAAATATCTCGCTGCGTGCCAGCCAGGACCACAAGTTGCGCCCTCTGGCACTTCGCGCCAGCAAGATTCGCGTCAGAAACGCATGGTTCCAGGCTGGCACATTCCCGACAGGACATTTCAGCTTGATTGACCTGGAAATCTCCGTAAAAACAATTCCCGTTGCATGGAACAGACCAAAAGCTACATTCTGATGAAAAAACGCCCATGGGCGTATATTTATTATTCGAATAAACGCCCCCCAGCGATTTCAAGCCAGTCCCCTAAACGTCACTAGGGGCGCTTATCCGGTTGAATACGGTAGAGGACAAGTGGAGGGAGCGAAGGGGGGAGGGACGCGATTCTCGCAAACAGAAAGTTGGTGTCCATTCATTAATTGCAAGTAGTTTAGGTTGTGACAATTGGCAAGTCGAGGTTTAGGCTGCAGTGCCGTCACACAGGCGCCTCACAGTCGTCTAACACAGTAAGATGGACAGCGGGTGGATCGCTTAGAACCCCACGGCAAAATAGTAGAGGGGTTATCAAGGTGGAGCCCCACTTGATCGACCCCCCCACCAGATGCCCGAGGGGTTGGTTTGGGACAGAGAAGGGATAGTTTGTGGGCAGTGCAGGTTTCGAAACAGTACGGAACACTCCGCTGATGCAACGATGGCTTACAAAAATACGTTTCGGGCTTGGGCAAAACATGCGACGAGACAGAGCGTCGCATGAAAACCCAAACAGCCAATAGAGCGGAGGCATTAAAGGGGGTGTGGATGTACTTCAGCTGCACGAGTGATGAGGATCTTGGAATGGGACGGCCAACATCGTATAGCTACGTGCATGGAAAAAAAAAAGGCGCGAGCGTTTTTGCCAGCAATTTCGGAGCGCTATAAAGAGGATAACCCCATCCACCCTAACAAAACTGAACAATGAAGCAGTGGCTGAAAATGGGGACACGTGATTGGTCGAAGGCAAACAGACACCGCAAAAACAATCCAAACCCCCCCTCCACCGCCGATATGGAAGGATAAGAGTTGGCACCGATTTGTAAGTTTGGACCTAGGCGAGTTCAACTTGAGCCTCGTAACTGACTATGAGTGGAGTTCCTCACGCGCGTAGCCTAGCCTGGATGATATAGAGCAAGAAATAGAAGAAGGGAATACAGGGCGAAGGTTCCGCTTCGTCCCGCTTTCCCATGGTTCCCGTTACCCGCTTTCCCTCGCTTCCTCATCCCGCTTTCCCTCGCATCCGCTTCCCGCTTTTCCTTCGCTTCCCACTTCCCGCTTTCCCGTGCCTCCCGCTTTCCGCTTTCCCGCACCTACTGCTTTCCCGCGCCTCCCGCTTCCCGCTTTCCCTCGCTTCCCGCTTGCCGCTTTCCCGCTTGCCGCTTTCCTGCTTCCCGATTTCTTGCTTCCCGCCTCCCGCGCTTCCCACTTCCCGCTTTCCCGCACTTCCCGCTTCCCGCTATCCCTCGCTTCCGCTTCCCGCTGTCCCTCGCTTCCCGCTTCACGCTTTCCTTTGCTTCCGCTTCCCGCTTTCCCTCGCTTCCCATTTTCCGCTCTTTTTTACGCTTCCCGCTTCCCGCTTTCCCTTGCTTTTCGCTCCCCGCTTTCCCCCTGCTCCCGCTTTCGGGAGCTTCGTAAGGAGTGAAGGCAAGGAAGCGGTGGAGGCGAAAGCAGCAAGGGGGAGAGGGAGGCCCACCTCGGGAGGGGGGGAACGAGGGAGAGCAGGGATGGAGAGAGGAGTGAGAGTAGTGAATGGGGAAAGGAGAGAGAGCAATGAAGAGAGTGAGGAGTGAGAGCAGGGGGGGGGGGGGGGAGCGACGGGAGAGCGGGGAAGGCAGAGAGGAGGGAGAGGGGGGAGGGGGAGAGGCGTGAGAGCAGGGGAGGGAGGGAGGTAAACGAGCAGGGGAGGGGGAGAGGAGGGAGAGCAGGAATAAACGGGATGCGTGAGAGCAGGGAAATAGGCTTCCCTCCTCCCCCTGCTTCCCTCTTCCTTCTGCTTCCTCTTCCTTCTGCTTCCCTCCTCCCTCTGCTTCCCTCTTCCTCCTGATTCCCTCCTCCCCCTGCTTCCCTCTTCCTCCTGCTTCCCTCCTCCCCCTGCTTCCCTCTTCCTCATGCTTCCCTCCTCCCCCTGCTTCCCTCTTCCTCCTGCTTCCCTCCTCCCCTTGCTTCCCTCTTCCTCCTGCTTCCCTCCTCCCCCTTCTCTCTTCCTCCTGCTTCCCTGCTCCCCATGCTTCCCTCTTCCCCATGCTTTCCTCTTCCTCCTTATTCCCTCCTCCCCCTGCTTTTCTCTTCCTCCTGCTTCCCTCCCCTCCCGTGCTTCCCTTTTCCTCTTGCTTCCCTCCTCCCCCTACTTCCCTCTTCCTCATGCTTCCTTCCTCCCCTTGCTTCCCTCTTCCTCTTGCTTCCCTCCTCCCCCTGCTTCCCTCTTTCATCTTCCTCCCTCCTCCCCCTGCTTCTTTTTTCCCCCTGCTTCCCTTCCCCCACTGCTTCCCTGCTTCCCTCCTCCCCCTGCTTCCCTCTTCCTCCTGCTTCCCTCCCCCCCCTGCTTCCCTCTTCCTCTTGCTTCCCTCCTCCACCTGCTTCCCTCTTCCCCCTGCTTTCCTCTTTCTCTTGATTCCCTCCTCCCCTTGCTTCCCTCTTCCTCATGCTTCCCTCCTCCCCCTGCTTCCCTCTTCCTCCTGCTTCCTCTTCCTTCTGATTCCGGACTCCCCACAGCAGAATGGGGTTGCTGAGCGATGCATTGGCCTGGTCATAGAGGTAGCCCGCAATTTGTCATATTCTATAGCTGCCCCGACAATTACACATGCCAGCATGGATAATGCGTACCCTGTTCATGAATGAGGAGGAGGAGCCAAACCCTGTGCATACCCTGTTTTATTTGTTGCAACAAAAGGAGGATGTGTCAACTAAAAACGACAACAAGAAGAGGACAGGCCAGCTGTGATTCCAACAACTCCATCCAAACTCATTCAGCGACGTAATGGTCATGTAAGAATACTTATTTACTGTCTTAAGAAATCAATGTGGTTAGCGTGGGTTTTGTCTGCTCTCTTGTTTGTTTTACTTCTGAGTTTCATCCCATATTCCGCACTAAGCCTTAAACCCCAAACGCAATATCTAACACCATGAGTGCATATAAACAAATTATGTGGTCCACTTTTTAACGTATGTTGTGTTTCTATGATTCACTGTGCAGGTCGTATAGCACGCGCTGTCAAGTCCAGCCGCAAGACAAAGAACATCTTCCAACACCAATTTCTATTGCTTGTTGGAACATCTTGCAGGGACACATTTGTGATTGCACGACGCTACCACTGTTCTCTAATTTGGATATAGGGTATTGGAAATACCTCGAAGACTTAAGCGTTTCTGAATTGTAATACTACACTCGAGGAAAGTCGTATCAAGTACGCGAGTCAACGGAGGTTACATGAGGAGGTTGGACAAAAGAACACGAAAGGACGAAGGGACTCGAAGGGTCGCAACCGGAGGTTGCGTCTGACCGTTGCGACTGCAAGGGTGGTAACCGAACCGACAATCGAGTCGCTGTGCGACTCGATAACCGTTCCTTCAACTGCATTCTACACCTGCTTCATTTCTTATTTTCTATATATTGCTGTATGCTTATTTCTATTAATGAATCACTTGCTCTCACATACTTGTGCAAGGGTTCAACTACTCAACACTTCCACTGCACTCCTCAAGCATTTCATACAAGTAGGGACTTAGTATCTGAAAAGATCCTAGGGCCTTTCTCAGCCCAACATAGGGGACTCCAACTATTAGGCTATTTGCGATGCTGCATGTGTCTGCTTGATTGTTGTTTGCATGAGAGGGGTGTGCATGGGTTTGAGATAAATACTGTCTGTTTCGGGGTGTGTCTGCTGCTCTTAGTCTCTATGTGCATAGTGCGTGTGACTGTAAATGTGATAAGGCGTGGATTGTGTCTGCTTCAGATGTGCTGCTTATATGCACGGTGTTGCAATTAGAGGTTATCATCGTGCCTGGGGCAACTCTGTTGTCATCTCGCACCCCATCAATCTCTGCTGCAGCATTGACGCATATATGCAATCGTTTCGTAGAACTCACAATCCTATCGTACATACATGTTCATTCCATCCACCGTATTTATCGACGAGATGGGGTGGCTGGCACGAGGTGTATTTGGATTGTGTTTGCCTCGAGCGTGCTGCTTATAGGCTAGGTGTTGCAATTAGAGATTGTCATCGTGTCTGGGGCAGCTGCGCTGTCATCGTGCACCCCATCAATCTCTACTGCAACACTACTAATGCCTACATGCACTCGTTTCCTGGCATTTGCAATCCTACAAGATGTTTAATTATACATAAAATTTTGTTGAAATGTGTCATGCGGTCTGATTGTTCCATCTGCCGTACTTATTGACGCGATGGAGCACTTAGGACATTTGGATTCATATTTTGGAGTTGCACCGAACAGTTAACTAAATTCTTAGAATGTTTACTGTTTATATCAATGCTCCGAAATGTGAAACCGATTTTATAGGGTTGCTACGCAACCCAAAAAGTGGTAGGTCAAGGATCGCGGTCAGCAAAAGTGCGATCTCCCAGGCAACGAGTGTTTAGACCTACGCACAGACGAAACTGGGAGAAATAGACAAAAATTGGGTATGTACGATTATGAAAACATTTGGACGAGTCGCTGCTACTGCGGCAATTTCGAAGAATATTTCTGCTACTACTACAAAACGATGCTACGCCAGCCAATGAGAATGCTGATTTTAGGGAATTCAGAAAATCGCTCATTGGTTTGGGTTGGGTTGGGTGGGTTTGGTGAAGTGCTCCTGGTATAGTACAACCACGACAGAGGCTAACATTCGTGTGTGGAGTGGGAGAGGAGACTAGACTCTGACGACGAGCACAACGTATTCAGCAGTGTTCAGCGAAGAATCCAGTCATGACAGCTCTCGTGGACATTCGTGCAGCTCCATTGGCGGTGTCGTCGCGGGGGCGCTTTGTCCGGCAGCAAGTATGATCGCAACCGCGCTTTAGTCCCTTGCCTCGTGCGCTGCTTGCCTCGTGCGCTGCTTGCCTCGTGTACATGTCGCTCATCTCGTGTGCATGCCGCCGTTCTCGTGTGCGCAGGCGGCCACTCGCTCACCGCTGGTAGCCCAGCCGCTTCTCGTCCCGCGCGTCACCCCTTGGGGCCGCGTCCCATGCCCCCGCCGTCCGTCGCTGCACCGTTCCCTGCGCGCCATGGCCGGCCAGTCCCCCCAGGGCGGTCGGCAGCCGTGGGACCTGGGGCGCTTCGCGCGCACCGTGCTCTTCTTCAACGAGCCGCCGTCCCTCGACTCCGTACGCGCCCTCGCCCCGCGCCTACCTCCCCTCGCGTCCTCCCTCCATCCCTTCCTCTCCCTCCCTGTGCCATCTGCTGCTCCTCACCCCATGTGCGCATCTGCTCCTCACCCCATGTGCGCATCTGCTCCTCACCCCATGTGCGCATCTGCTCCTCACCCCATGCGCGCATCTGCTCCTCACCCCATGTGCGCATCTGCTCCTCACCCCATGTGCGCATCTGCTCCTCACCCCATGTGCGCATCTGCTCCTCACCCCATGTGCGCATCTGCTCCTCACCCCATGCGCGCATCTGCTCCTCACCCCATGCGCGCATCTGCTCCTCACCCCATGCGCGCATCTGCTCCTCACCCCATGTGCGCATCTGCTCCTCACCCCATGCGCGCATCTGCTCCTCACCCCATGTGCGCATCTGCTCCTCACCCCATGTGCGCATCTGCTCCTCACCCCATGTGCGCATCTGCTCCTCACCCCATGTGCGCATCTGCTCCTCACCCCATGCGCGCATCTGCTCCTCACCCCATGCGCGCATCTGCTCCTCACCCCATGCGCGCATCTGCTCCTCACCCCATGCGCGCATCTGCTCCTCACCCAATGCGCGCATCTGCTCCTCACCCCATACGCGCATCTGCTCCTCACCCCATGCGCGCATCTGCTCCTGTGCAGCCCACACCACGCCCCCCTACCGTTCTGACCATGCCCACGCGTGCGCCTCGCTCCCCTCTCTGCCCCCCCCCCCGCCAGCTCCTCACGTCGCTGGTCAGTGCGCTCACAGGCGCCTCCTCGTCCCCCGCGCCAGTGGCCGCAGCGGGGAGGGCCAGACAGGAGGGGGAGCAGCTGGTGCTGGTGGTGGGGGCGACGGGGGGAGTGGGCAGGCGCGTCGTGGAGCAGCTGAGGGCGCAGGGGGTGCCTGTGCGCGCGCTGGTGAGGCCAGAGGGGGTGACCTGGGGCGGCTTGCTGTACCCCCTAGGATGCTCTAGTTGCCGTTGTTTGGTCGCTTGGCATCCCACAGTGCCCTTCATTCCACGGACTCCTCGTAGTCGACGCCAGGCGGCCCGCCAAGGGCGATGCGGGTGGAGCTCCATTGGGGTGACTGCCACCGCGGCATGCTGGCCCCGCGCGGGGCCGTGCCGAGCACCATGCCTGCTATGGCTGCTCATCTCAACTGTCTCTGCACCGCGTGGGTCACGGCATGACACTGTGTGGCTTGGCTCGGATTGTTGTGCCCCACATTCAGTGATCTAAGAGAAGTTGTTGGTGCGGTATGGCATGGCAGGTGCGCAACTTGGAGAAGGCGCGCAGATTGTTGGGGGAAGACGTTGATGTGGTGAGCACACTCATCCACCCATCACCTTCGTCAGCCTGCCCTCATGCTCGCCCGCCCTCAGTGCTGGTGCATGAGCATTTGGCCCATTCTGCTGCCACGTTGTCTGCCTGTGCTGACACCTGCCCTCTGCTCCATCGTGCTTATAAGGATGGGCTTGGGTATGTGTCTGTGTGTGTGAATGTGGATGGATGTGTTTGTGAATGAGGGGTGTGGTGTGGGGGTTGGAAACTGGGAGGAGAGGGGATGCTGCTGCATGGCTGTGACTATGGGTGCGGGTGTGGGTGCTGGTGCTGGTGCGGGTGCGGGTGCGGGTGCGGGTGCGGGCGCGGACGCGGGTGCGGCGTGGGCGCGGGCGTGGGCGTGGGCGTGGGCGTGGGCGCGGGCGTGGGCGCGGGTGCGGGTGTGGGCGGGTGTGGGTGTGGGTGTGGGTGTGGGTGTGGGTGTGGGTGTGGGTGTGGGTTCGGGTGTGGCTGTGGCTGTGGGTGCGGGCGTGGGTGCGGGTGTGCGTGCGGGTGTGGGTGCGGGTGTGGGTGCGGGTGGGGATGTGTGCATGGCACCAGGTGGCGGCAGACGTGACTCAGATGGCCACGTTGCAGCCGGCGTTCTTCAGGGGCGTCACGGCGGTGGTCAATGCGTGCGCCGTCACCGTGGGGCCCAAGGAGGGCGACACTGCGGACCGCCAAAAATATTATCAGGTCCGCCCACACGCTCGCCTCCCTCCTGCTCCTCTCTGCCTGCCGCTCAGCCCCTTGGAGGATTGGTGCATGGCGGTGTTCAGCAGAGGTGCCGCAGCAGGGCTCGTAGCGAAGCAGGGCATGCATTGGCATGGAGGGAGGGGTGTGAGCAATAGTGAAGCGCAAATGGATGTCGCACCACAGGCACAGTGTAGGCACAGGTACAGTGTAGGCACAGGCACAGTGTAGGCACAGGCACAGTGTAGGCACAGGCACAGTGTAGGCACATGCACAGTGTAGGCACAGGCACAGTGTAGGCACATGCACAGTGTAGGCACAGGCACAGTGTAGGCACATGCACAGTGTAGGCACAGGCACAGTGTAGGCGCAGGCACAGTGTAGGCACAGGCACAGTGTAGGCACAGGCACAGTGTAGGCACAGGCACAGTGTAGGCACAGGCACACTGTAGGCACATGCACAGTGTAGGCACAGGCACAGTGTAGGCGCAGGCACAGTGTAGGCACAGGCACAGTGTAGGCACAGGCACAGTGTAGGCACAGGCACAGTGTAGGCACAGGCACACTGTAGGCACGGGCACAGTGTAGACACAGGCACAGTGTAGGCACAGGCACAGTGTAGGCACATGCACAGTGTAGGCACAGGCTCCTGTGGAAGTCACACTTGTGAAACCATACCAGTCATAACTTTCTCGTGTCTCTTGTTCAATTCCCTCCTTGTCTCATCTCTTGTGTTCACTTGCTCGTTTCCTGCCCTGATGCTGCGCTGTCTCCTGGCAGGGCATCAAGTTCTACGACCCCCAGGCAAGTGCTCTCAACTCACCCTTCTGCCCCCTACCACACCATGTTCAACCATCTGCCCCCATCGGCCTGCTGCATGCTTGCACCCCTTGCTTCCCATCATTCGTCATTGCTCTTCCTATCCCCAGCCGTGCTATCATGTGCTTACAACCGACCCTGCCCCCTAAACTCTGGCTCGTCATCCCCATATTTATGCCACTTTTTCTCCTCCGTACTTCTTTCCAACCGATTCTGCATGGCGTATCCATGCTAGTTACCCTTGCCTCCCTCTTCCCCCGTCCCCCTCCCGGCCCGCCGTGCCCCTGTGCCGTCAGATCATTGGCAACACGCCCGAGGCCGTGGAGTGCACGGGTGTGGCCAACCTGCTCGCCAGGCTGCGCCCCCAACTCGCCACTGCTGCTGGCTGCCACACCATCTTCTCCCTCACCGGTGCTCCACTCACCCCCCCACTCTGTTGTGTCACTCCGTCCATTCCTTGCGGCTGCTCTCACCCCGCACAGCACAGCAAGTCGTCAATCCGGATGCCAGCTCCCGTTTCCGATGAGCCTCGGATTCTTTCTCAAAAGGGTGTGGCTGAATTTGAGTCCGATCGCAAGGTTGCGCTTAAGCACCACATGCACATCACATGCACTGCCTCCCATCACATGCACTACCTCCCATCACATGCACTGCCTCCCATCACATGCACTGCCTCCCATCACATGCACTGCCTCCCATCACATGCACTGTCTCCCATCACATGCACTGCCTCCCATCAATGCACTGCCTCCCATCACATGCACTGCCTCCCATCACATGCACTGCCTCCCATCACATGCACTGTCTCCCATCACATGCACTGCCTCCCATCAATGCACTGCCTCCCATCACATGCACTGCCTCCCATCACATGCACTGCCTCCCATCACATGCACTGCCTCCCATCACATGCACTGTCTCCCATCACATGCACTGCCTCCCATCAATGCACTGCCTCCCATCACATGCACTGCCTCCCATCACATGCACTGCCTCCCATCACATGCACTGCCTCCCATCACATGCACTGCCTCCCATCACATGCACTGCCTCCCATCACATGCACTGCCTCCCATCACATGCACTGCCTCCCATCACATGCACTGCCTCCCATCACATGCACTGCCTCCCATCACATGCACTGCCTCCCATCACATGCACTGCCTCCCATCACATGCACTGCCTCCCATCACATGCAATGCCTCCCATCACATGCACTGCCTCCCATCACATGTACTGTCTCCCATCACATGCACTGCCTCCCATCAATGCACTGCCTCCCATCACATGCACTGCCTCCCATCACATGCACTGCCTCCCATCACATGCACTGCCTCCCATCACATGCACTGTCTCCCATCACATGCACTGCCTCCCATCAATGCACTGCCTCCCATCACATGCACTGCCTCCCATCACATGCACTGCCTCCCATCACATGCACTGCCTCCCATCACATGCACTGCCTCCCATCACATGCACTGCCTCCCATCACATGCACTGCCTCCCATTACATGCACTGCCTCCCATCAACCACGTGTGCTCCCTCACTCTCATGCTAAGATACTGTCCCTGGTTTTGACGATCCTGAACTGCAAACCGAAGAGGCAAGCAGGGCTGGTTTTGCTCTAGGTGGTTTCCCTGCGCGGTGTGACTCAAGCTGGGTGGACCCACATCTGGACTCCAGGGGTCGACTCGCTGTACAAACTCACTCCAGCCACCTCATTGCTCATGCGTGCCTGCGCTCTGCATTGCCTTGAGCATCGCCACCACTCCCCATCATCCCTGGCATATGCCACATCCTTCCCATCTTTTCCCTCTCTCTCGCCCTTGCCCCTCTCTCTCGCCATTGCCTTTTGTCTTCCCCGCGACCCACCCGTGTGCTACAGACAGTGGGGAGCCAGTGGGGGCGCTGTGGGGCGCACTGGATGACGTGGTGATGGGGGGGGTGAGTGAGAGCGCGCTGCAGTACGACAAGATGGCAGGGGAGGGAGGGCTGCCAGCTGCTCTCTTCAGAGGTGACCCCATCCCTCGTTTTTGACCTCGCACCTTCGTCCCTTCTGCCATTGTTTGCGCTGGCCCTCAATCTCTGCTGGAACGCACATGTTTCCGTGGCTGGCCCTTGTGTGTGCAGGCGTGGTGTCCACTGCCAACAGTGGTGGCTTTGTCAGTGTGCGCACCAAGGCAGGTGCCCGCCCGCACTCTCGCGCCACTCTCCACACTGCCTTCCAATGTCGCATCCTTTCGTCTATGCATTCGCTGTGCCGCTACTCTGCGTGCCCTGCCATGCTTAAGTCATCATCGACCTTTGCACTGCCGGTCCCCACCTCACACCCACCCTTCGCCTCATCCCCTTGCTGGCTCCTCACTCATTCACACGCACAAACACACATGCAAACACACACATGGGCACACGCACAAACACACACGTGTACGTACACGCACACAGAACCTTGCGCCTGCTCTGGATCTGTCAGCGCATGAAGGGTTGGAGGTACGCGTGCGGGGAGATGGGCAGCGATACAAGCTGATCGTGCGCACCACAGCCGCTTGGGACGCCCTGGGCTACACCGCCAGCTTCGACACCCTCGCAGGCGCCTGGCACACGGTGAGCCCCTCCTGTACCTTCGCACCTGCTGCATGCCTGCCATTACAACCAATCACGTGCCATGCAGCTCACAGGGTTCACCACAGTGGCTGCGATGCCCACAGCCCTGTTGTGTGGTGTAACACATCCGCTCATGCCACACTCCCTGCTGCTCGCCCGTGCCATGCCACAGTCCCTGCTGCTCGCCCGTGCCATGCCACACTCCCTGCTGCTCGCCCGTGCCATGCCACACTCCCTGCTGCTCGCCCATGCCATGCCACACTCCCTGCTGCTCGCCCGTGCCATGCCACAGTCCCTGCTGCTCGCCCGTGCCATGCCACACTCCCTGCTGCTCGCCCGTGCCATGCCACACTCCCTGCTGCTCGCCCGTGCCATGCCACACTCCCTGCTGCTGGCCCGTGCCATGCCACACTCCCTGCTGCTCGCCCGTGCCATGCCACACTCCCTGCTGCTCGCCTGTGCCATGCCACACTCCCTGCTGCTCGCCCGTGCCATGCCACACTCCCTGCTGCTCGCCCGTGCCATGCCACACTCCCTGCTGCTGGCCCGTGCCATGCCACACTCCCTGCTGCTCGCCCGTGCCATGCCACACTCCCTGCTGCTCGCCTGTGCCATGCCACACTCCCTGCTGCTCGCCCGTGCCATGCCACACTCCCTGCTGCTCGCCCATGCCATGCCACACTCCCTGCTGCTCGCCCGTGCCATGCCACACTCCCTGCTGCTCGCCCGTGCCATGCCACACTCCCTGCTGCTCGCCTGCGCCATGTACCTCCCACAACCACCTGCAGTGCTAATGGGAGCCCCTGTTCATGGATGATGGTTGTGGCTCTTGCAGGTGCGCCTGCCCTTCTCGTCCTTTGCACCTGTTTTCCGTGCGCGCACTGTGCCGGGAGCTCCACCGCTCGACACTTCCAATGTTGCGTCACTGCAGGTAATCCTGCTGCCTCATAGGAAACCTTCCACCTGCACAAGTGAATCTACACCCTCACCAGACATGGGCTTCGTGCCGAGCCTGGCTCGGCTTGGCTCGGCTCGACTTTGAGCCAGGGGAAAGTCGATCCGAGCCGGGTCGGCTCGACTCGGCTCGACCTGAGCCGGCCACTGAGATTTTGCCGGCTCTGCTCGGCCAAAAAGGGTCGAGCCAGACTGAAATTTTCGCGACAAATTCGGAGTGGGCAATGTTTTTTGCAAATCGCCAACTCTACTTGTGGGACATCCAACCGCGACACCCAACTGCTTCCAACAACCACACTCCATGTCCCAAACCCAATGCTTTTGCTTTCACTGCTTCCCGCAAAGTCAGCTCTCACGAATTTTCCTCCCTAGAAAGCTCACGCGTTCGTTCCTAGCTTGCCAACAACCATCTCGACCCCACTTACCACTCCCCCTTGTGCGAACCGTGACGCGAATGCCTAGGGGAATGTGTCGCGGGTCCCTGTCGAGCCGTGCGCGAGCCGGATTCGAGCCAATTTTGAGCAGGCTCAACATTGGCTCGACATGAAAACGCGGACGAGCCGAGCCAAGCCGGGTCGAGCCGGCCAACAATTCCTGCTCGGCTCGCCTGGCTCGACGTGAAGCCCATGTCTAACCCTCATTTCACTGCAAACCTCCTTGCCTCCTCTCATTGGTAACCTCCTTTTTCCTCTCTCGCTCAAGCGGTCCCTGTATTGATGTAACCTTGGGTACAAGCTGGGCAAGCAAGGCAGGTACATGACATTCAACAATCGTCATGGTCTAGGGGAGCCCTGCGCGAGGTGCTCCAACACGACAAACAACCGTCCGTCCGTCCGTCCGTCCCCCCCCCCCCCCCCCCCCTCTCTCTCTCTCTCTCTCTCTCTCTCTCTCTCTCTCTCTCTCTCTCTCTCTCTCTCTCTCTCTCTCTCTCTCCCTCTCTCTCTCTCCCCACTTCTCCCCACCCCCACTCGTGTTGGCAGCTGATGCTGAGCAAGTTTGAGTATGACGGTCGCCTCAACCCCTCCTTCACACCGGGCCCATTCACCCTGCCTCTCACCTCCATCGCTGCCTATCCATTAGATCCCTTACCACTGCCCAGGTGCGTTGCACTCCCTCCTGTCATCCCCCTCCCTCTTCCGCTCCATCCACTGATCTCATGCTGTCACATTCCCAACGCCCTCTTTCCCCACCCTTGCCACACTTGCTGCATGTGCCACATCACCCTCTGCCACCTCGCTCTCTGTCATCTGCCCTCTGCCCCCTGCCCTATCATGCTGTCTCTCCAGGATTGTGCACGTGGGGTCGGCGGGTGTGACGCGCCCCAAGCGTCCAGGGCTGGATCTGTCTCGGCAGCCGCCAGCGGTGCGCATGAACGATGAGCTGGGGGGCATCCTCACGTGGAAGCTGCGCGGCGAGGACCTTGTGCGCGGCAGCGGGTTGCCCTTCACCGTGGTGCGCCCATGCGCACTCACAGAGGAGCCAGTGGGCGCGCCACTGCTCTTCGACCAGGGTGACAACATCACGGTGAGCCAAGCCCACGCCCTGCCAGGGCACTGCAGGGGAGGGCTTGTGGCATGCTGGGTTGTGGCAGAGTGCCGTCCATTGTGTCAATCCCCAGGAGGATTGGCCCTTACGATGTGCTGCAAGCAATTCTGAAAAGTGACTGGACGTACCATGGCCTTTGTCTCAACCTTCTCTACCCATGATGAGCCCATGCCCCTTAGTGAGCTTCCCCTGTGTCGTCTACTGTTCTCATGACAGCTCTCATCTGTGCTGCCATGCGACCAGGGCAAGATTGGAAGGGCGGAGGTGGCTCGCATCTGTGTGGCGGCTTTGTCATCACCAGCTGCTGCCAACAAGACTTTTGAGGTACCGTGGTGTGCGCACACCTGCAGCCCTGTCACTCTCACCTCCTCTATTGGCTCTTTCATGAGGCCGGTTACTCCCGCCGTCTCCCTGTGCTTGAGTGGCACCTCTTCCGTACGCATGGAGAATCTTGTGGAGCAGTGAGGATCTGAGCTGCCTTAGTGGCCTGCTTGCTAGCGTGCAACACAGTTGCGTTGGTGTGTTGTGATGCTATGTGGTGTGTGTGGCGCTGTGGCAGGTGAAGAGCACAGTGCCGTTCAGTGAGCCATTCACGGTGGACCCCAATGACCCACCCATGCCCTGCGACACTGAGCCCTTCTTCGCAGCACTGCAACCTGGCATCACTGGGAAAGAGCTGCTGGAGGAAGATGCCGCAGTGTGAGTTGCGGTGGGTGGGTGACTGTCTCAGAAAAACGCAATGACTAGAATGAGGCATACAGGCTGGTTTTGTGCTATGGTGCTGTCTAGCCTAAAATAATACAGAAATATGTTGACACACCCCCTAGGCTAACAATGGGCAGTGCTTGACAAGAGACATGCAGCTCAGGGCGGCACAACTAGTCCAACCTTAAAGGCAACGGTCTGAAGACCTGTCACTAGAGTGAAAACTAGATGAGCAAACCAGGGCGGCACTACTAGTCCGGCCACAGGAACAGAAGCCACAAGGCCAGTCAAAAGAATTTAAAAGAGTAGTACACAATCAAGGTCCTAGCGGGTGAGAAGCTACTGGAACTAAACCAAGCTCTACACAATGCCGCTGATGATCTTTAGGCGCAAGCACCTTGGTAAAGATATCAGCAGTGTTGGCAACGGAGGCCAAGTGAACTACGCGGGCCTGGCGTCGCTGCTATAGCTCGCGCAGGAGGAAGTACCGCAGCTGGATGTGCTTCGCGCTGCCCTCCAGCCGAGGTTCCTGACACTGAAGGATCATGACCCTATTCTCAGCGTACAGGACCGGGGTAGAGCTAGGCCGCTCACCTAAGTTAGTGAGCAAGAAGGTCAGCCAGCGGAGCTCCTGTGCCGCCATGGCACCAACATAGATCTCAGCCTCACAGCTAGACTGCGCAACAGACGATGAGCGGGTGGACCTCCACGAGATGGCGCCTGCACCAAAGCTAAAGCAGTAGCCCTGGGTGGACCTGAGCGTCTCAGCGTCGTCCGCCCACGAAGCGTCTGTGTGTCCTGTAAAGACCACTGGCCTGTGTCCTCCTAGCACTAGCCCTATGCTTGATATACTTGCTAGATACCCGAAGACCCTCTTAGCGGCCGACCAGTGATGTGGTCGCTGTCTGCCTGTCACCGCAAAGCGAGCTAGGATGCTGAGAGGGTATGCGAGGTCTGGACGAGTGCAAGTCATCAGGTACATGAGGCAACCCACCAGCTCTGCGTAGGGACCACTAGGCTCTACAGACTCCTCGGGGAGTGGAGCCGAGAGCCTGTGATCTACTGGCAGAGGTGTGGGTTGTGCGGAGGAGAGCTGAAGGCCGAACCTTTGAAGGACCTGGCTCACCAAGTGTGACCGTGTGAGAGTGATGGTGCGCGCTGCTCTGTCCCTGGAGATATGCGAGCCAAGGTAGCGGCACAAATCACCTAGGTCAGTGCAGGTGTGTCTCCTCAGCAGCTCAGCCTTCACGGAGGCCAGTGCGTCTCTGTCTGCAGTAACGAAGACCAAGTCGTCTACGTAGACAAGGATGTAGAACGAGGTCTGGCCTGAACGAACGAAGAGCGATGGGTCTGCAGCGGACGAGAAGAACTGCAGGTCAGCTAACAAAGCACGAAGAGTGTCGTGCCACTCGTAGGGCGCCTGCCGCAGGCCGTAATCCGGGCGCCGGAGAAGCCACTCGGTCCCAGGAACGAAGGTGACGGTGAAGCCTGGCGGACGATGTTGAGTGCACTAGAGAAACGCTGTAAAGAAGTCGAGGGAGAGCAGCTTGTAGTCAGGGAGTGCTGCTTTGTGTAGCAGCGCCTGAAGATTGGTCATCTTCGGGGTCGGGGCGAAGGTCTGAAAGAAGTCAACACCCTCGCGCTGACTGAAGCCTCTAGCAACGTAGCATGCCTTGAACACAACGGCTCTCCAGGAGGGCGCTTCACCTTGAAGAGCCATCGGCCATCGACTACGTTCACCCAGGAGGGGGAATTGCGTCGACCTGGGTGCCAGTGGATCTCCAAGATGCCATCTCTACGTCCATGGCAGCTATCCACTGAGAGGCTCAGGGTCCCGAGGTCGCCTCGACGTAAGTGCAAGAGGTCGGGATGTCAAGGGCGTTTGGGTATCCCTCAGGGGCTAGCAGCATGGAGCAGAGGTGGGAAGCGGCCTCGAACAGGAAAGCTAGCTCGTATTGCCTGTCCTCTAGGACGTTACTACCAAGGGCAGGTGCACCCCCGATGGACGGAGGGCGGGCAGGGTCAGAGACCAGAGCTGTGGCGTAGTCAAGGCGACGGGTAGAGGCAAAGTCAGCGACTGCTGCGACAAGAGCATCAACATTGGAGACAGGAACGGAGGGGTCGGTAACAAAAGAGGCGAGAACGCGAGGAACAAGCAGACTAGCGGCACAGAGGAAGTCAGAGAGAGGAGGCGGAGAGACAACAAGCGACGACTGAGGAGGCGACGGTACAAGAGGAGCACGAGACGCGTAAGATCGGAGCAACATAGGGTGAGAGCGCTGGACAGGAGAGACAGGACGAGCACGAGTGGCACGGTGAGACCACCGGCGGGAGGGGAGGGTCGGGTCAGGAGACAAGAGAGGAGAAACAGGAGGAGAACGAGGGGGGAAACAAGCCGGGGACGAGTCCGGCGGAGGAAACACATGGCCGTAGACAGGCGGGGGAGACGGCGACAGTGGAGGCGCAAGCGGGCGTTCGGGGGAGGGAAGACCCAGGAGGCGAAGGGCGGATACGGGCAACGACTATTTCTGCTGCTCCACGCTGACACCAAAACCTCCAGCCATACCACTGCTACCTCCGGGACGCTCCACGACAGCACCCCCAGAACGAGAACCCTCTCCAGCAACGGTGCCACCCCCAGGACCGCCGGGACAAGCCATGTCAGTACCCCCAGGACTAGCACCCCCAGAATGAGAACCCTCTCCAGCACCGGTGCCACCCCCAAGATCGTCGGGACAAGCCACAACAGTACCCCCAGGACTAGCACCCTCCTCAACGCCCGCACCCCCACAGTTCGCGGACCGTTGCGGCGGCTGTGGCGGCTATGACGGCGACAACGGCGGGTGCTGCTGCGACAGTGGAGGAGGAGACACAGGGGCGGAGACAGGCAGCGAAACCGGACCTGCAGGGCCCCCGGAGTCAACCGACTCCCACACCGGGACAACCAACTGGAGTGGAGTGACGTGATTCACACCAAACGGGGCAGGACGGGGAGGGAGATGAGCTGGGGCTACCGGGGAAGTGGGGACCAGAAACAGGGGTGAGGTAAGTAGGAGACCTTGGTGGGGAAAGCGGTTGTAGAAGGAGACAGACTCGTCAAAAGTGATGTCACGAGAGTGAAAGAAACGGTGAGAGGACGGGTGGTAAAAGTGCCAGTCCGACGCGTCTAGGGGGAAACCAAGGAAGACACAAGGGATGCTGCAGGCAGTGAGCTTGTCCGTGCTAGAGGCACGAACGTGAGGGAGGCAGCCCCAGACGTGGAACGCAGACGCGTCACCAGGGGACCCAGTCAAGAGGAGGGTCGGCGAAACCTGCGGCCGCTGGGAGTGTGGCCACAGGTTAAGCTGGTGAGCTGCGTAGTGAACAGCGAACGGCCACAGAAAATGGGGTGCGTCATGGAGGTACGAGCCACCTCTATGACCAAGCCGTCAGGGTGTACGACTGGGTGATGCTCTCCGCATGACAAAATTAGCCAAGCCGACCAGAGGCGAACTCGCTCCATGGTCAGGGTGAAGACGCAGCATTGGGAGGCCACGGTGGACTCGCACAGCTACGACCCACGTGATAAGAACGTCAGGCACGTCGGCCTTCCGCTCAAGGGGAAACACCGTGGTGTAGCGTGTGTAGTTGTCAACAAATAATAGAATGTAGCGCTCTCGACGCAGCCCAGGGGGGCTCGGCCCCAAACGTCCAAGTGCAGGGTCTGGAGTGGCACAGTGGTGGGAGGGAATGAGGATGAGTGAGGAGCAATGGCGCAACTGGCCCTCAACACAAGGCATGCACGGAGGTGCGGGGGAGGGAGGGAGGGCAGGGAGCGACACAGGGAGACCTAAGACAAGACCGTGATGGGAGATGTGACGTAGACGCGGGAGTGCGGGGTGACCTAGGCGGTGGTGCCACAGAAGCGACGGGTGGGTGAGCGACTGACAGAAGCATGCCGCGACGACATGGGTAGACGCAGCCACCTGGGGGGACGCCCCCACCAGGAGGGATGCGGTGTCGAGCGTGAATAGGCTAGACACCGGGTCCCAAGGGAAAGTGGTCAGGGGGGCACCAGTGGCAGCCTCGGTACAGACTGCGTACCGCTTGTGGCCAGAGAACGTAGTGATGACGCCGAGGTCTTGAAGACAACCGACACCAACTAGGTTCCTGAAGAATAAGGGGATGTGCAAGCCTGTAAGGGAGCCCGAGGGAACAGCCGTACAGGAAAGGGTGGTGGAGCTACGAGCAAGTACCGGACCTGAGGAGGGGTCAGCAAGCGCTACAGTGGCAGGGGCGGCAAGCGACGTGAGCGTAGTGCAGTCACGAAAGATGCAGGCAGATGCACCACAATCCAGTGTAAAGGAGAGTGCGGTGGTAGCGACAGCCGGCGGGGGCACTAGTGTGGAGCCTATGCTAAACAAAGCAGGAGATCCTACGCCCGATGCAGCAGGGGAGCCTAGACTACGCACATCTACACTAGGCAACACAGGGTAATAGGGTCCTAGGCTTCCAGTGGCAGGGCCGAACCGGAGACGGAAGAGGTCATCGAGGTGGCGGTAACTGTGAGCTGCGGTGTGACCTGGACGGTCGCACACGGTGCCGCAATGGGGGCCGGTCTGGAGCTGGTATTGGCAGGTCACCACGCTAAAACCGCCACCCGAGACCGAGCTGCGCGCGCCGCCATTGCGACCGCCACCACCATGGACGCCAGACCACCACGGCGGCACAGGTCCCACGGCTGCTGTTGTGATTGCTGTTGCTACTGCTGCGACTGCTGCTACTTCTGGGGCGACTGCTACTGCTGCTGCTGCGTTAGGGCATCAGCCCCGGTCCCCTCGTCGGCACCACCGGCACTCGCACCACCTCTGCCACCCCCGCCAACCCCGCCACCCCCGCCATCCCTCCCTCCACCACGCCCCCCCTTGGGACGGCGGCCCCTACCCTGACGAGACTGCGCGGAGGCTGCCGCGGTGGTCTCAGCAGCAGGGGCTATCTCATCGACAGCGGCAGACACGTCAAAGTAAGAGCACTGGGAGGGAGCACAGTCCTGGAAGATGGAGACCGCCGCGGTACCGCTGGGCTCAGCGATAGCGCGCTGGCGAGTCTCTATTGCAGACAGGGTGGTGACGAACTCGGTAAGGGTGAGGTCGGCGGAGTGGAGGCCTAGGAAGTGGTTGCGGGTAGTGTC